TGGAGGATATAAGAGCAAAGGAGATCATGTAATACAATTGGAGGCAAGGATGGGAACGAATATGCAAGTACAAAATGAATCATTTGACTGTGCTATTAGTTTAAACAGGAACATTATAATTGACACGTATGAACATGTATCATTCATAATTCGAATTCTGTTTGTACTTTATTTCAGGCTTCAATTAATGCTCATACCTTGAAAATGACCTTAATTTATGCTCACGAACATCTCGGCGAAATTGGTGAACGACTCGGTGCAGCAGCAATGCTTGTTAAAATTGAACAAAATCGACTATTTTTTGCAACAGTTGGCGGTATTCGAGCAGTACTGTGCCGTTCTGGAAATGCTTTACAGTTACCTAACCAACCAATTACCATAACACCGGAAGATTATATTCAGCTACGTAATGGTAACGCGACGCTCAATCAGGTAATATCTCAATTATATAAATGAAAAAAAATTCTATAAATATATATTAATTCAATCTATGTCTATTTCTACCTTTTTTCTTGATAACTCAAAATATTTCAGGAATAAAAGTGAAAATGCCTTCATTTCAGGACAATTTGATTGATGGAATATGCTTGTCAGCAAGTTCACTCGGATTTTCTTTCCTTTATCCTGCTGTACTTCCGAAATCATATCAGGTTTGCCTGAAAATTTTTGTAAGGGAACACTATTTTCTATTTTATATTTTTCACTCCACTGATAAATTAGTTGACATGAAAAGTAGCTGTAAGCAGTGTCAAGAATTAATTACACGTATTTTTCTATTTAATGATATATTGGCGTGTTGGAAAGCTCAAATCTTTTTTTCACTACTAAGCAAACATTAATCAATTTCATTTCTTAACTAAAAACAAAACGAAACTTATCATTTTCAGGATACCGTAGAACTTACGGAAGCCGATGAGTTCATTATAATTAGTTCACGAGCATTATGGAAATATATTTCTCCTCAAGATGCGGTAGATAGTATTCGAACTGTGCATAATCCACAAATTGCGGCCAAAAAATTGCAAGTTAGGAAGAAATTTTCAGCTTCCTGAAAATTATTAGCAGCTTAAATATTTCCATTTCTTTAAATTATTTTTAAAACTAAAGGGCAAATGAAAATTGAAATCCTATCTTTTAAAAAAAGTCAAAGTGTTATAAAATTGGATCCAAAGGGTATAATTATTGGCTAGGATATGAAATAACAGAGCCATTGTACTCTTTCAAAATACGAAATATTTTTAGAACGAATTTTTCCAAAATATTTTCAGCACTTTTTTTTAAAAAAAGAAAAAAGTTATAGAAATATATTGATGAAATCATAACAAATTATTAGCGAAGTTTTTTGTTTTTTTTAAATTAATTCAAATTTGTTGTTTTTTTGTTGCAGGATACAGTGCAAGGATTTGAATATGTCGGTAATGTGAGTGTTATTGTTGTTCGATTTAAACGAGCTCAAGAAGAATGTTGCTATCGAAATAGCATTCCAGAAGGATCATCTGCAACGGTCAAATCAACTTGTTCGAGTAACTTTCCTTATAAACAAAATAAACAAATATAAACAATTATAAACAGATATGTATCCCAAATTATAATATATGAATTTTTGGGTATTGCTATGTTACTTGCATACATTTCCATATTCAACAGTATATAATGATTCAAGTTTTGAATTTGTTTAAATTATGAATCGATGAATTTGACTTGATGCGAGTCATTTTCAAAAAAACTATGAGAGCACATGTATGGGAATGTAGTTGTAGTTGTGTAAATATCAAAAAATGTGCTATATTTAATAATCGTGCAGTAATAAGCAAAATAAAAAAGAAAAAGATTTTTTTTAAGGTCAAAAATCAACCGTGTTTATGTTTGAAATTTAATTTTTGAAATTGATTCAGAAAGTGGCATCAATTTGTTGCGTAATATAGAAGAACGGTTGGAGCAAATCAGTGAAGCAATAAATAAGATTGATGATGATTCGAATAACAACTGTCCTCTATCTTGTGGTCTCCAGTTATGGAGCAAGAAAGGAAGCTTTAGTACTTTGGAACTAATGCCAAATAACATCGACAGGTGCGACTGATCAATCTCTGAATTTTGCATTTTTAAACAAAATAACAGTTATAGCTTGCATCAACAATCATTTCATTTTAAAAAAAATGAAAAAATTTCATCCTTTGAAATAAATTTCATTAGTTACTCTCCTCGATAGATAAACTAATATTATGATTACGATTTTGTGTAGAAACTCATATTCTCTAATTCTCTAATCATATTCTGCAATTGTAAGTATAAAAGTTGTAGTATTTTATAGTAATATCATTTATGATACAGACTTCTATCAAAATATACTACTTTCAGTAATTGGCCATCTGGAAGTAGCATTACCTCAAAGTTCAGCACTTCACGAGCTGTATCACCTTCTAGTGCTCCACCAGATCCGCACAATGAACAAACATTAACTGATCGATTTTCGATCCGTAAAAAAATTGATATGTATGATCGCTTTAGTGCTATAGCTATTGCTGATAGTAAAGAACGCTTTCAACGTGCTCGATCAACTCTTAGCGAACAGCTTCAACTACGAACTCCAGATGGGAAAATCATGAAACTATACAACATATAACAATGAATTCATTTCAATAACTTTGTCATGCAATCATGAAGGTAGATATGTATAAATATGTGTTAAAATCTGTAACAATAACAATATTATACTGCAATTAATTAACTTAAATAAGACATGAAAATGCGCTGTCCCATTCACATTACTGTATAGTTTCAATTTTGCTATTCATAATGCTTCTCAAAAGATCGAAAAATTTTTTGCACTCCTAGTCAAAATTAAACAATAATAAAATATTAATTGTCATTTATTGTTATTCAATTTTGACTAAATTGAATTTCATCATTAACAAATTTAAGAAATGAAACATATTTGTCAGCTTGACAAGAAGAGAGACAAAAAGCAAATATTCGATTTTTTTTTCCTCTTTTCCAACCAATCGCCACCACTATTAATTCAAATTTTTTTTACAGTTTGATTTGAGTGTTTAATTGCATCAAAAAAGAGATGTTGAGTTTCATAGTATGAATAGGATGAGGCCGTAATAGTATATCTATTAAGCAGGGAGTGAGAGAGAGAGAGAGGGAGAGGGAGGGAGAGGGCTAAGTTTTATTCGAGAACAAGGAGAGTTGGAATGGAATGCTTCCTGTTGGCCGAGAAAGGAATGTACATCGCATGTTGCTGAATTGCCAACAATAGATGGATTAAATGGCATATCATCCCATTCTATTCATCCATCTGTTTGACTTCTCATTCCATCGTTCCATCACATTGTCCATTTCCATATTTCGAATTACTCCATTTCAGATTATTCTTTTATTCATTTTCACCTTCCCGCATTATCATTGCCTTTTGAATAAACTTCATATTTTTCATAACATTCAAGCAAGTGCTTTCCCTTCAGTAAAAGAACCATCCGAAAAAGTAAAATGAAAGAAAGGCATTTTAAATACCATTTGGAAAATTTAATTTAAGGAAGAAAATTTTACTTATCATTTTGTGCTGTCTGTCATCTATATATTTGATGCTAAAGGAGAGAGGAAGAGAAAGGAGACAAAATACGCTTACGCTCTTTCTTTTCTGACTGTGATAAGCACACACTTTTCAGTGTTCTATTCTTCACTCTTTTTGCATTATTGTTATTGCTTATGTCTGGGAAAAATGCTTATATTCCACACTTATAGAAGATTTCAAGGGGGAAGCATTGGATTTAATGCTAATTAAATTCTTGAAATATAGCAGTTTAGTTTTGTGAAAATTTTCAGTTAGATGATTTAGGTTATCATTATAGCAGCATGAGAGAATTACCGATGCTGCATTAGCGGATGAATCTCAATCCATCAGTTGTATATATATATATATATATATATATATAAGGCCAACCGCAACTGTGATATCAATTATTAGGCTATTTTAAAACTGATTGGAAAAAGTCTTATTAATGCAATTAAACTACATGAACAAACTAGTTTAAATGTGTCATTTTCATTCTGTTTGAATTGCATTCAAATTTACAAACTATAAAGATTATGGTAAATTGTTTGTTTGATTGCTTGCTCATTTGATTTTCGAATGAATTCATTTATTCGCGTATGACGAAAAGCAGTAACAACGTCATTTCATAAGAGAAGCTTGAAAAACGTAAAGTATTGGCAGCGTCGCACGGTGCCTTACTTTTTTTGAAACCCTTTATTTTGATGTCAAACAATGTTACGAAATATTTCTTTAGTTTTTGATTGGATTGATAGATAATCAAGCAGTGGTGATGAGCTTTCTTCCCTTTTAATCCAATTATGATTGTAAAAGGGGCATATTTTCATCTAGGATTTGACGAATTTTCAGATTTCCGAAGAATAAAAAGAAAGCTTTCTTATTTAATAGTTTTATTATTCAACTTTCCTTTTTTATTTTGATAAATTTGTGAAAAGTTTCTCAAAATAAAGGATGCAGTCAAAAAGTACTTGTAATAAAGATATGATATAGGTTTTCTTTAAGTGATTATCATCTTTCATTTTATTGCTATACAGTTTTGTTCTTAATTTTTGATACTATTTAATTCAAAATATATCATCAATAAGTATGAGTTTTAACTTCGACTAGTTAATTTAATGCTTAGTTCATTCTTAGTCTTGAATTTTAATTACTGAAAGACAAAATTTTTCGAAATATTAATTTTAAAAATTCATGCTCATATTCACTGAAGTGTTGTGCAAAATAGGAACGGATAGTTATTGAATGATCGTTGAGGGATAATTGCGAACCATTTTCTAAGCTGTAAATTCGATTTGATGTGTAATTTGATATTTCCTTTCATTCCCTTTTTTGGCCTTGAATGAAAATTAAATTTTAAATGGCTTCACAAAAAATGGGTTAAAAATGATCGCGTATGAAGGATAGGAAGAAACGGAGAGAGGAAAGAAAATGGAGCGTTCATTATTCAGGCAGTATTAGTCATTGACAATCCAAGCAAGATTACATCCAATACTTGTATCATCATCATTATCATATGGAGACTATAACAGATGCCCCAGGTTACCTTAATTAACCTCAAGAAATGATTAGAAGGTAACACTGGTAGTTTGCTAAATTAATCGGTCTGTACTTTTCCATCCTTTGCTCCTTTATTTACAATTTTGTTGGAATTTGGGAAGGGCTGAAAAAAAAACTGCAACTGGAAGCCGAGCAGTGAAATTTCCATTAATCGAACCAGTTGTCTAAAAAATCATCAATTTTCTATTTGCTTAATGTTTTGTTCTTTCTTCCTTTTTTTCAGGACATAAGTGAAGAAATATTACTTCATAATATTAACTATTACAATATACAATGTATTGCTCTTCTAGCACTAGCCGATTTTTACTTTTTCTCTAAAATTGTGTGCGTGTGTATGATGAAAACATAGTTTGAAGATATATTTATTTCCCATTAGAGACAGCTGATGTGCAGATTCTTTAGTACGAGTTTTTGTGTTCCGCAGTAACAGTCAGAGGTGGGGGAGTTGAGGGTGGCGAGAATGGAGAGATGATGAGGCGGCAATTGATGTAGTAAACTGATAAGTTAGAAATATAAATTATGAGTAATAAATTTCGTGAATATAAATGTGCGAGAAAAGGAAAGCATTGAGTGTTATAATTGAATAGCCAAAATTAAATGTTTCCGAATAACTCCTCGGGTCTTTCATTCTTTCTAATTTAACATTTGGTTGCATTGCTAGAAAGTGGTTTTCTTTGCCCTTTTTTTACAGTGTATATTATTAACTAAATTCAATTTTCCTAAAGCCTTCATTTTGACTGATTGAAATGTAAGGAAAAAATTTTTTTAGAGACTAAATTTGAACGGAGAAAAAAGCTCGCTTATTTCTGAATGATTTATTATGAAAATACATTTTAGGATGATAATTTAAGAAAGCAGTGATTTCTTTTCTTAGCGCAATGATTGAATAGCGCATTAGGAAATATGCATAATTTTGGTGATAATAGTGCGTAAAATTTAATTATTGTAATTACATATCGAAGTTAAATGATTAATCGTAATTTAAGAATTGTCTTTTTGCAGCATGAAATGTCATAAATATCATTCAATCTTGACAATAATAATTATTATTGATGGAATGCCTCTGTTATTATAAATAGAAAATCAGTTATTATAGAAATGAAAAATTGTCGACAAAAATGACTTATTGATGTGAAATTGGTGACAGCCATGATATTTTAACGTTAGTGTGATGGAGAAGAAGGAAAGGTAAAGCGGAGGGAAGAGTGAAAGGTTCTGAGAAAAACAAGACATAAATAATCATTGCTTGATGTTAGCAATGAGTTACAAATTTTTCGTTCTCGTCAACCGCCATCGCTTCTCTCTCCGTATCCCACCAACTTTCACTTCTTTGAGATAGGAGTATGTATGGGTTCTTTTTTTTGAAAGTGAATTGGCTTGCCGCCGCACATAGGCCAACAACATTCGCACACATATATGTTTTAGTTGATTGATTCTCTTTCTGAAGCCTGGAACTTACGACTCTACACTTGGCCAAACATATACATATGTATACACACTGGGACATTTTCTTCCCAGTTATCTTTCTGTATTCTTTCTGATTTAATTTCTAATTGATTATTATCCATTTAATTAATCATTTAGTGATCGATCATAATTTATTCTTTTTCATAACTTAAATAGTGTTATAATTTATAACTGATAGTAATTGTTGTATATAACTTGTATTTTAAAATATGTGACAGAGTTAGAATTTTATCTAAGAAGGATTTTTTTATTATTGATTGGGAAAAGTAAAAAACTAATTAGATACTTTGTTATTTTTGAAAAGATGGAATATCTGCTAGGAAAAATATTACGACATTACAACAGAAATAATATTCGATTTCTTATCTCTCTATGATTTATAGATGTTAAGTTTCTATTTCTTCCTCCAGGATCGAATAGCTTTATATTATTTAAATTACTTGCGAACGTTAATGATGAATTTTATGGTTAATATTGGTGGAAATGAGAGATTATTGAACATGCAAATATAATACTATATGAGTAAATTAGTAAGGAAATAATTATAGCAACTGAACACATATAGATCAGAAATATATAAAATATTAGAGAAGTCGAGAAAATTCTATTTTACTGCAAATGAACTTTATGTTTTCCTTCATGTTCATCTCATCCATCACACCGTAAACCTTATATGTTGTCCTAGGAGTAGGTCATCAGTGTTCCTTTCCTCCTCATTGGCTCCTCATTTTAGGTACATTTAAATTTTCTTAATCTGATTCTTTCATTCTTCTGCTTTTCTGCAAAATTTTCTGCTTGAAAATTGAGTGGGATGATTTGCAAAGCATTTTAGCCATCTGCTGTTTAACCCATTAAATTTTCCTCTTTGCTTTTCACTTTCCATCCATTTATGCGCTAATGTTTTCTCCGAAAGAGCGGTTTCCTTATGATCTCTTTCATTTTATTTCTTCCCTTCATTTTTCTTTCCCATCTTTAACGATGAAGATTTATCGTTCCTCAGGGAAAACATTCTACTTTTGAAGTAGGATTTTCCATTCTTTTATTCATCCATCATATACCTTTATGTCATTAGCTTTTACTTCACATCACTTCACCTTTGCTGTTTTCATTAATTATGAATTTTCCTTCTTGTCAGTATGAATCAGAAAGAATGGGACTATGGTGTGTTGGAGATATGAAGATTGAATCAATTTAATCTGCTTGATTTAGCAATATTATCTCTTCTTCAACTACCACAATTTCAATTTTGATGTCGCATTTAAAAGAAATTTTTTTTTCTGTTAGTAAAAGCTTATCTAGAAAAAATTTTCTCCATTTTTCCATCGTCTTAACCCCTCTATTCTTTCATACGTTTGATTTACAGCTTCAGTTGATATTATCATAATTTATAAAATTTATTTCCCACATAATTCTTGCTTAATATTTATATAATATCATCTTTAAATACTTATTAAATCTCGATATATATTTATTTCGTGTAGTGAGGACAGTGCTATTTTTTTAATAAAATTAGTAGATAATAAAGTTATGATTACAATAATCGATAATATTATTGTTTATAATGTAATAAGAAGAGAGCGTTCGTTTATAATAAATAAAACTAATAGATAATAAAGTTATGATTGCAATAATCGATCGTTTATAATAAGAAGAAAGTGAAAACTTTATTTATTGAAGTTTTATTTTTTTGCTTCTTCGAGACTCTCATTTAAACCAATTGGCAACTTAATATTTATTTAATTACAGTCATTGTTGACTTCATTAAATGTTTTATTAATTTTGAAATCATTCAGGATGATTGTTTCTTACAACTGTAACTTTTTTTATTTCTCATATATTATTTTTTAAAGAATGAATTTAATGATATTATTTTCATATATCAATAATAATCTGATAATGATCTTGCGATACATTTTCCATTTAATTCTATTTTTTTGAGACAAATGTGTTATAAAAGTAAAGGGATTAAGATAAATCCTCTGGATTAGGATGAATTCTGAAATCTGCTATATTTGATAAATGATAGGAACTTTTATAACGCTTGTTCTATCATATTAATAAACATTGATAAATAATACGGAATATTAGGATTATGATATAGAGAGTAAACATAAGGTTCTCTGCAAAAAGTATTTGAAGAAACAAGTAATAGTGGATGAGAGGGGAAAAAAGATGAGAACAGAGAACGACGGTTAAATTTTTCCAATAATTTAAGTGAATTTAGATGGTAAATTTTTGGCGAGAATTCAATGAAATTTAGTTTGCCAAGAGAAAAATCGTTCTAAAATAATTTGATTTAAAAATGACCTTTGCTTTAACAAAATAAATAGAGAATATAATTGATCGAAGAACAGAAAAAGTACCTGTGTATGTTATTTAGTAAAGGTTCCTTCTTTCGCTTTCTTTTTTTTAAATGTAAATTTTTCTGCATGAACAGGGAGAAAGTATCATTTAAAAATGATTCATTGTTGTTTTAATGGAATAAAAAGAGATGATCTCTACAAAATGATTTTTTTTTTTTTTGAAACATACATATACTTTTCGTATCTTCAATATATTTTATATATAGAAGATTAGTGGTTGGTAACTTCCTGTATAGTTATAGTAACATCAATTTGAATGATTACTTCTAATTGGTTATTGTCAGTTTTCGATAATCAGCCACTATACTTCTCATCTTCAACACTCTGTACTGTCTTTTTATCCAAACATTTTTATTTTCGCAATCCTTAGCAAATATCACCCTTGTTTTGTTAGCAATCCTTAGCAAATATCATCCTTGTTTTGTGATCACTTAAAAAGTTGAGTTTAAACTTAAGAAATTCTGTTCCATCTTTGCCTTGCTTTGTTTTGCATTATTTTCATTGCCCAAAATAAATATCAAATGAGTGATATTTAAAGTTTCTGGTAGAGTAAGAAATGCGAATTTCAACAGTGTGAAAATCGTAAATACTTTTGTACTAATTAATCTGATAATTGTAAAATTCAAAGAGAGCAATTTCTTAGGAATATTTCTTGAAGGAAGGAATGGATGGATGGATGGATGGATACAGTTTGACCGTTATGTAATATAATTTACATATCGTTGAAATTTCATTTTCTGTTTTTCAAACTGTATTCCCTTTTCTATTTCAGGTTATTCGCTAGTATTCTATTCTAACATTATATTATTATTATTTATTGCTTGTATAATAAAGAACGGTTTATTAGAAATGGATGAAAAGAACATCCAGTGGTAGCAGAAATTAATCATAAAATATTTTACTGCTCATTTTTTTGAAGAAAAACATGGAAGAAGTAAGGAATGATGAATGGATGGATTGATACAGTTTGATCATTTGTATAACAACAGATCGATGAATTGAGAATTAGCCAAATAAGATTTACTGCGAAAGGTTTTTTTTTTTTTTAAAGAGGAGGAAGAATTAATTCTCCAGAGGGAACAAAAGTTATTTAACAGAGTGTGGAGAAACAAACAAAAAGATGCGAAACGATGAAGAAGACGAAAATATGGCTGGTGAAGCAGTTTGTATGTTAGCAGCAACTGAAGAAGAACATGTTAATGGTGCTGGAGTTATTGCCAGTAGTAGTAGCGGTTCACAAACACCAATTGCAAATGGTTCAAGTAGCGGTTATCATCCAACTACTGAAATGGTTATCGTTTAATTTGAAAGTAGTGAATAATAGATTGGTTAAATTAACCAAATAATTATTTAATTTTCATCTTTTAGATTGTGGAATTATTGTGTCTTCAGAATAAACAATTATAACTGAGAGATGGAAAGTAAAGAATTTTAGTGATTGAACATCGAGATTCTTATAGTCATGCTATATAATCATTGTTACTTCTGTCGTATGTTGTTATTATAGACTATCAGTGAGAGAAAGAGAGAAGATATTATATTTCTTTTATAAATTATCGAATAAATTATTTTCTTCTTTTTTTTCGTTTAATTATATGTGTTTATTATAGACACATGGTCATTCCGTAAGTCCACTACATGCATCATTCTTCGATCGAATTTCCACCAGATGGTGGAATCCACAATTTTTATCAACAGCTTTAGAAACTCAGTATTGGAAATGTAGTTTTCCACAACTCAGAGATAGGTTCAGGCTAGTTGTTCCGTATTTTTGAAATATTTTTTCTTTTAAAATTTAAAACTGATGTTTTTAGCAGTGTTAAAATTTCTTCTCAGTTTTGTCGTTGTCGTTTATTTCTGCGTTGACTTTACAACAGAAGGAATGAAAATATTTTAGATCTGGACTTGTATACATTTGTTTATCATGCATTTTATGGATTGTTTATTTACAAGTTTTCAATCATGCTAGCTTAATGCATTGGGTGAGTTATTTCTCTGAAAATTTCATCTTCCTTTCGTGCCTATGTAAAGCAGCTAATAGCAAGTTCGATATTCCTAGTCTTCTGGCATTATGGTGATAATGCTTTACATCTTAATTAGTTATGATAATATGAATTGGTTATTGGTAGACCTATACCCTAGTGCCTTTTTTTTTCAGAGGAGTCTAGCCGTATCTATCATAAAGTTGTAGTACCGATAAATGACTTGTTGCATTGAATGACGGGACTAGTGCTAAATCGAATGCCAAATTAGTACATAATCGTGATGAAGTTAAAGTGAATCACTATTATAAACTGCTATACCTATTCTGCAAATGTACTACATTTTTACATGCTAATTCACTTGAATTTCATATTATCTTTATACATCACTATCCGTGATTTTTATTTCAGCTAATATCGATCACTTTATTTGTAATATCATTTGGAATGCTTCTCTTTACATTATTTTCCGTACATTATCAACGTTTTTACATGCCTGCATCATTTCTCTGTGTTTTTATACTCTGTACCGTAACTCTATTTATTTTCTCTGATAAATCCGGTTCGTTTATGAGTCCCATTGGTGATTTAGCTACTAGTTTTCAGGTAACTTTTTCTATTTTATATTAAAATCTATTTAAAATATGAATTTTCTAATTTTTGGACTCCGATGATTTTGTAATACGGAGAGTTCAAGATTCTCACTGCATGCTGAATAATAATTTTACTTTTCTTTGTCATTCTTAGTTCATTGTTTTATTTTCAGGTAGTATTACTAATCTATACAGTAGTTCCATTACCACTGTATCTGTGCATTTGCATTGGCTTAATTTATTCGATATTGTTCGAAATGATCGCTACCGGTAGTATGAGTTATGCGGACGCGCTAGGAGTCAAACTTATACTTCACATTGGTATCAATCTCCTTGGTGTTCATTTATTCATCCTAACACAAGGTACGTATTAGCCTACTAAACTATTTATGATTTCCTTATTCGACCAGTGTATAGATGGGATAAATTAATTTAAAGTACCATGTGAGGACTTGCGTATAATCTTTGAAGATGAAAGTTGAAAATTTGTTTGATCTCAATTTTAGAGCTAGAAATTTTATATTTTCCAGTTCGTCAGCGAAAAACGTTTCTAAGAGTAGGCCAATCGTTACTTGCACGTAAAGATT